CAAAACTGCAGCTGGCCTTGTGTGGTGCGTTCATATTTACCACGCCTGTTAATACACGAATTCATAATAAAATGAAATGAATTTTCCTATTATAAAATTACTCACTTTTCTGGCGTTTCGTAATCCACTGCGGTGTATTTTATTTAAAAGAAATCCAGTCTGTAGAGCTTTTCGCTTGTCATTGTTGACTGTGCATACCTATGACTACAGTTGATGACACAATAATAACAATTGAATTGTGACAATTGACGGCTGTGACAACACGCGAATAGGGCTGATATTCTCAATTGTCTTGTCTTGTGTAAACGCAAGGTTATACAACTGTCAGCAATGATGGACGTACATATGTCAAAAGTTGAGTGTTGGCCAACGTTCGTTGGGTCCGTCGAAGCAAGGGTTGCACATCTGACGTTCCCTATGCAAACCAGGGATAAAAATGTAGGTACAATTGTATCTTTTTCCGACGTTTGCTGACCTAAAGGTACATTAGGTACAGTCACTAGATTTTAGGTACAATCATCATTTGATCAGATGAATTTTTATTCTTATTTTTTTCCTTTACTGTGATAATATATTTACTTGTCGGCATGGGAAAAAGTGGTCAAAAGGAAGAAGTTAACAAAATCTTATTATGTATTCTCTTAAATATTTTATATTGCATTTAGAACAGCCACTACGAAAAATTAATAGTTTACTTAGCTATCCTAAAATTCGAAACTCTTGTTATATTTTTTATATTCGAAATTGGAATTAATTTCTTCCATAAAACGTCATTGCGCCCTAGACCGATGTACTCCCCTCTTGAATGACGGTGTGAAATCTACAAACGCTCTACCTTTTAAATTGTTGGAATGCATTTTTTAATCTATTGAAACAATTAAAAGCTAAAGTTCCCCGTATATGGGCAAATCTAAAAACCAGGTAACCTTTGTGTTATTTAGATTTATTTTCACTGTTGTAAACTAAATAAAGCTGGTTGCTTTAGGATATAATTCATTGACGTATACTTAAAGCCTCAAAAAAAATTTGGATTGATTTGCTACATAACTTTTGAATTATAGGTGTTTAAATTAAGAAAAATAATGAATAGAAGTGAATTTGTTATGTAATTTTTAAGAGGGGCACAATTAATTATGTCATAATTTTTGAAGCACACCATATTTTGATTTGAAATAAAATGGGCGTTTAGCACTTATGTGTACACTTCATATGTAGTGGGTAAGAAAAGTGTGCATTAAAAAATAACGAAATGGCAAGTAACTCAAAGTATGTAACTTTACATTTCACAATTTTCAAAATTTTTGGTTTATCGCATATAGGTTTTGAAGCATTTAATTTTAAGAACTTTTTAAGTATGTTTTGTATTCTACAAACAATTACGAATAATTTGATACCTTAGCAACAGGCGTGCTTTCAGAATAAACTAACTTTTAAGAAAAAATATTCTGCGATCTTGAGTGTAATTTTTATTCAAAAAACACTTTAATTGAAGGCACTACTGCTAGTCCTTATAAAATTACATATACCTGTAAAATGCTTAAAAAAATGTGTCTCTAGAAATGTGTAAAAACCCTGATTTACTACTTTTAATGATGCTCCTTTTTTTAGTCAGAATATTTCGAGAGTGGTATCAAAGCAATTGTTTTTCGACAAATGTTCTGATAGTTACTCTTACTTAATTGGAGCCTTCTAAATTCAATGCCGTCCTCAGTTTTGCCCTATTGTCTCCACTTTTCGAGATAGCGGTACTTGAAACTTTGCTTAAATTTTAACTATTTTATATAAAAAGTCCCTGGGTTTTGAAGGTATTTTACTAAAATTTTGCACATAACCGTTTATTAATATTACCTTTACTATTCCATAAAATCATCGAAATCGGTTCACTAAAACATATAGCTCCCATACAACTGATTGATCAGAGACGTTGTTTTGCGTTATAACTCCTTCAATTAAACAGGTTAAAATTTAGTATAGGTTCAATTTAACATATAGCACGCATACAATTTATTATTCAGATATGAAGTTAGAGTTATAGCGCAAAAACACATATCTGAGTAATCATTTGTATTGGAGCTATATGTTAATGTTAACCTATTTCGATAATTTTAAGGAATAATTAAGGTAATATTAAAAAAACTGTTATGCGCAAAATTTTATTAAAATAACTTCAAAACTGAGAGAGTTATTTATAAAATAGTGAAAATTTAATCAAATTTTCAAGTACCGTTATCTCGAAAACCGGAGCCAATCTGGTAAAACATGGAATGCCTTTGAATTTAGAACATCCCAATTAAGTGAGTTCAACTTTCAAAATCTTTGCTTAAAGTTTACAACTTGAACAGCGTAATTTCAACCCAGCTTATTCTTTTGTTTTCTATTTCATTCTCATTCCTCGTCTAACTTTTAAAGGATTTGATGAAAATGAATATCACTTATATTAATCGATTTATTAAGAGATTACGAATAAAATGATATATAAAACATAGATGTGCGCACAAATTTAAAAATTAAATTTTTTTTTTGAAGGTGTACCTATTTTTGAGATTTGCCCATATGAGAACATTTTTAACTTTTCTATTAATTTTACTCGCCCATACAGTCCTGGGTCTAGGATTAACAAAAATTTCATATTTTCTGTAGTTGAGGGCCTCAAATTGAGGCAATCGCTATTTAACCCATATTCGCTATTTGATTTCTGGAATAAATTTAAATTGCTTTCGAATATAGTACTTACGGCACTTCCCATTATTATCTCTAGACTTGCTGCAGCTATTAAAAGGAATCGGATAAATTAGCAGACTTTTACTGTTGTTTTATAAAAAGCTGGAAAAACTTCGCAAAGTGTGTTTTTGGTCTATTTCGCCAATATTTTTCATTAGTCATAATTAGGCTAAAAAAATATTGCTTTTCCGATTCCCATTAGACAATACTCTGGATGTAGATATAAGCTCAGTTAAAAAAAGCTAATGATTTTTAAAGTACATCCACCTGAATTGAATGTTAGGAGTTATTGCATCATGCATTAACGTGTCTTGTTTTTTCTATTAATGGATTCACCATGGTTAGAAGTTCATCAAGTGTATCAGCATCCATTCGCAAAAAATTACAGTAATCGACATTAGATGAAAATTTCTATTCATCCAAAAGATTTTCAAGTGTAAACCTCTTTCGTTGTTCTTTTTCAACAAAATTGCAGTAGATACCAATAAAAGTAAATCATCATCCGACGACGATATAATGACCGAACGCTACCTACACAAAATTTAAAATGGTGATTGACGTTTTTATTTGAAAATCACACAAGACACTGCTGGACACTGCTGGAGTCAATGGCTACTTTTGAACCGCTACTGCACCGACTTTTAGGTAAGTAGCTACTCTATTAACCCGTGGTAGTGCACATGGTAGTGCAGAGTCAAACCAGTCGGAAGACAGAGGGCGCCCACACATACGCAATGCATGATGTATTTACTTGATTGTGTCCGTGGCGCTTTATGATTCACATTAAATTCTGAATATGACCTACTTATTTAAACTTTTCAAAAACACTGAATTCAAATTGGAGAGACTTTGAAAATCTCGTAAGTAGATACTTCTTCAAAATTGACTTGGATTCCGCACCGACTTTTTGTTATGTTGTTAGGTGCAACGGTAAGTCGAAAACCCGGCAACTTAGTGATTTTGTAACCGAGTTTATCATAACGATCCCTAACCGACAAAAATACGTAAGCGACATTTTTTAAAAATTTTCGATTTGATGCAAAAAAAAAAATATCACTTACGTCTTTTTGGCAGTTAGGGCTCGATATATAGATTATTGTATAATTTGCTTAATAAAACAATTTTATTAAATATGTATCAAAAATCTAATATTTATAAAAATAATTTTTACTTATAATCTACAAAAACCGATTTTTCGTCCTTGTAGGTGCATTTTCAAGCTTTGCTTGATTTCCGCGCCGCCTTTTCGGCATCCAATTTACACCAAATTTTATCCCAGCTATTTTTAGGTGGAAAGGAAAAAATAGCCCTACATGTTTTAATTTCTAAGAACATCTCTATTATGTACATATGTATTTGTGCCAATTATTAGAATAATTAGTTTTTTTTTTTTAATTTACTGCTTGCATTAACTCAATTCCTGCCAATTTTTTCTTGTCGTTGCTTTTGAATTATTCTGGGTTTTTAGTTAAATTTACGGAAAAAGTACACTGTGAGACAAATGGTAGGGGTCAGTGATCGGGAAGGGTTCAAACTACCGGGGAAAGTTATATCGGTAAAAAAGAAGTTATACGGGTCCCGGCGTTTCGCTGGGTCACGTCTAGGAATCGAGATATATATACATAACTATCATATAGGGGAAATTGTCACCTTTGGTGGACTTTTTTTTACATAACTCGAGAACCACTAGTCCGATTTTGCTCAAACAAATTTAAAAAAATTAAAAATTACAATTCCTTTAATCTGTTCATATAACGTTTTTCTATATAATCAACAGTTTTAAAAAAATTTAATATTTCAGGCAAAAAATATTTTTTTTCTTCATACATTTATTTTTACCGGCAAAACTGTTGATTATAAGAAAAACGTTATATGAACAGATTAAAGGAATTGTAATTTTTAATTTTTTTTAAATTTGCTTGAGCAAAATCGGACTAGTGGTTCTCGAGTGATGTCAAAAAAAGACCACCAAAGGTGACAATTTCCCCTATATGATAGTTATATATACATCTCGATTCCTAGACGTGACCCAGCGAAACGCCGGGACACGTATAACTTGTTTTTGACCGATATAACATTTCCCGTTGGTTTCATCCCATCCCGATTTTGGCTGTCGCATAGTGGTATTATTATTTTACATACATATGTATGTATCTGCTTTCGCGTAAGTTAAATAGTAAGTAAAATATTATTAATTTGGTGCTTGGCCTTTATAATTATTAACAGCCAACGCTGCCTTTGCACCCACCCAGCTATGGCAAAGTTTAACTAAATCTACATAAATGGTAGGTATACATTCATCTTAAATATTTATATTTGTAATAAATAATATCAAAAAGGAAATGTACATACTTATAAAACTAGTGATGAGTATAATATGTACTAGTACTATCAGCGTCCACTGCATCGTGGCTGTGTTCATTTTTCACTCCTTAACATTAAATACTTTGGTTTCAATTAGATTTATTCGCCTCGGTTGTGCGAGTGTTTGTTTTCACACATTCCTTAGTTTTCCATTTTACTGTCCATCTTTTTTCGCCTAAATTAACGTACAGTCGCCATATATAAAATTGGTATGGGATGAGTTTTTTTACATATGTAATTTTGTCGCCATAAATGTAATTTTCCTTAGTACATGGGCTCTTAAGTATTGCGTGAGCTACTTACAATCACTCTGCTTCTCTTTAAGTAATTTTTTTAATATTTTCTTTGGTTGGACTACACTATCATAATAATTTAGTTGCTGCTCATAACTTCATTCGCATTTTCGTTTTTGTATGCGCTCACGTTCGCTTGGTTGTCTTTTTTTGTTTCGTTATCTTTACTTCGCTGCTTCTATTCAATTTAATAAAAAATTCCCTTCGTTTTATTCTTTGTGGTCTTACAATCCTAATTCGGCATGTGCAGCTTTACCGTTCGCTTCATCACCATACATGTTGGCCAGTTTACCAAAGCGAGGCCCCCACGAACCCAAGTAGTCATACTCGTGCGCCTCATCGTCAGTGCCTGAAATAAGGAGCGAATAAAATACGAATATTAGTATTGCTGGAATAGATTAGAGAGGAGGTTTTATAGCGGGTTACAAAAAAATACACAAAAGAACGGATATAAAATTGGCTTTACAGCTCCTTCTCCATAACCTGCAGGAAAGTAAACAGAATGGAAGTAAGTGTTGGGCTCTTAGCCAAGCTATGGCCATAAGTAACTTACATTAGTCCACTTTTCTAGTTTTTTCAAACTGGGATTCCCTGCAGGTTATGACAGGTAAAACACAGATCTGCAATCAGTATGTTTGCGATATTTAAATAACCTACGACGGACACAAATATATTCTAAATAATTACACATCCATTTTGTCTTTGCTTATAAGCAGGTAAAACAATACAATTTTATTGGGCTTTATAATGACCGAATTAGAAACACTGTTATAAAGTCGAACTATGTGTGAACGTACTTTTTAGGGATTAGTTTCCGGCCTTCAAGAAAAATATACAGAACTCTTTCAAATAAAACTTCTTAATCAAGTACGGAGGGGATCTGTATCGTTCGTTCGAGTTTCAAAAATGAGCTGTCAAATTAAAAGGCTTGCTCTGTATGTGTGCAACATGGTTTTAGTTTTGTGAAACGGGTTGCCACATGTTAGATAATTAATTATAAAAAAAAACTGCGCGCGGAAGAAGTGAAACTTATTCGAGAAAATTCCAGAATGGAAGAAGTGTGTAATTTCTAATTTTCTAATATCTATACATATAATAAAATTGTAACAGCCCGATTTCTGTACATTATATATATTAAGGAAAAATTAATACGAGCAACAGAAGGCTTGCTGAAGGCCGCGAACTGTTTGAAAATTTTAATTTAATTGATAAGATAAATTGAATATTGCATTATGGGTACCAAACTGAAGAGGTGTAGGAAAGTTTACTGCTGAAAATATTTTTAAGACGGGGAGAAATTCTATTCAATTAAATTGATAAAATAAATAAAATATTACAATACGGGTATCAAACAGCACAAAAGTATGTTTAAGGCATATATATATTTAGTTCTAATCTTTGTTTAAACGAGTTTTATTTTTTTATAATAAACTGCTTAGTTTAATTATTATTTGGGGCTGAGGGGAAGTTCATAAGGCGAGTTGAGTTGATATCATTTAGATTGAGGTGAGATAACTCATGGTTAGGTGAGATGAGTTGCTTTAACCGTGAGAACACAATGCTGGCGGACGGAGAACTCACCACAGCGAAATTCCCGCTATCAAAATTAGAACACCCGCCGGTATATGAAATTGAACACAGCCAAAGCGAAATGCGAAGTTTGCTCGGCGGCGTTACGTGGCGATAGATTTATTGCTATCGCTCTGCCGGGCGATGGCGGCAGTACATGCCAAAGGTGGCCGTATGTTTAAGGTAGTGCGAGGTGAGGTGAGGTAAGTTAAGCTGAGATAAGGTAAGGTTTTTTCCTTTGGTCTCTCAACGCTAACCGCGTGTTAAAATATATATTTTATAGTGGATTTTTATAACCGAGCGCACTTGTGCACAAGGGTATATTAACTTTGTTCACATAACGGTTGTTTGTAACTGCCAAAACGAATCGAGATAGATATAGACAAATGTGTACATAACTGCTCAGAATGAATAGAGAAGTCGATTAAGCCATGTCTATTTGTCCGTCCGTCTGTCCGTCCGTGCACACGATAACTCGAGCAAAACTTGAGATATCTCAACGAAATTTGGTATGTAGGTTTCCACTTATCCAAGATAGGTTGGTATTGAAAATGGGCGAAATCGGGCGTGGTTACAGCCCACTACTCATATAACGGTAATTTTCAGAAATACGAAAACTGCGATATTTTAATAACTACTAAAGATTATTCACTAAAAATTTATACTGACAATAAATTTTAGACGGAAAATAAGAATATTATAAATTTTTGGAAAATGGGCGTAGCCACGCCCACTTATGGTTACATGTGTATATCTTGGTAACCGCTGCACCAATTTCTTCCAAACTTGGCACAGTTGTTGGCCTTGGTACAGCATACCAATTAGAGAAATACAAAATCTTCGATAAATCAGTAAATATTACAGCTAATTTATTCAAAATTGATGCTTGCAACAATTCTTTATCAAGAAATAGGTTTATGATAACATTTAAAAAAATGGGTGTGGCACCGCCCTCTTATGATCACATATACTATGTATCTCGGTAACCGTTCTACCAATTTGTACCAAACTCGGTATGGCTATTGTGCTTGCCACATAAAAGCAAAACGTTGAAAATTATTGAAAGCGGACTAAAATTACGGCCACCTTTCATACAACGGTAAATTTCAGATATACTTGAAACTTCAAAATTTTCAAATTTAAGGACGCTAATTTACTCCAAATTGATACCCCCGGCTTACCATGTAGCGGTAGCTTTCGGAAAGGTGAAAAACATATATTTAATACTTGCACCGGGTATTTAATGTTCGGCTCCCTCCGAACTTAGACTTTCTTACTTGTTTTTAAATATTCGTTTACAGATATGAAGCTATTGTAACAAGAATGATAAAATACAAGATTGCGCATTCCTGCGGGTGATGACGTCAAGATAGCAACGAATAGGAAAGAGTAATTGGGGATGGGGGAGAGAAAGAGTGTTAACCGTGAAACCATGGAGGTCGCCATATTTACTTGCATACAAACATCTCTGCATACACGGTGCAGCGAACAAAGGTGGCGCCGTCAGTGGTACCGCTACTTTGGTTTTGCCGATTTTGACAGTTGTGGTAACTTGTAAATAAACCTTTGTTTACAAATCAGCGAAAGAGAAATATGAATTATAAGTGAAAAATCAGTTTAAATTGTGTTAATTTGCAATTGGTGAGTGATTTTTGAGTTGAAGACTGCGTAAAAACTAATACAATGAAGTGATGTGTGTTAAATTGCGACAGCCGTCAAGATGCAAGAAGCGTAGATGCAAGTGTAGCGCTGGGACGAATCGCTGCATTTTGTGTACATAGGGCACGGCAAAGCCGTTCCCGAAATATTTCTCTATTATTATATTAACAGCAATTCCTCACAATGATTTTGTTTCTGCTCCACGCAGCCTCCATTAGCAAGTTAACTAATCAATCCCGCAGAGATGCTGCTGCAGTTTTCTGCAGCAGCCTTAATTGCAAAGCAATGGAGTGTACTAAAACGTTTGCTGAAGCAGCCTCAATTGCAAAGCAATGGAGTGCACTAAAATGTTCACTGTTCTCTAATAGATTAGGTGAAAAATGCAATATTTTCGCATTTAGCAAAATTAAAACACGTTTTTCGCTGTAAAGTGAACTGCTTTGGCAGTTTCAACTCGTTCTTCTTTTCGCTCTATTCGTTGTTTACTTGTGGTACACAAATGTCAACGCCCAGGACGGCGCAATCTTGTATTCTATCATTCTTGCTCTGCATACATACAAAAAGTTTGCTAAAATGACGTCACACGAACAACTGATTCTGTCAAATTCGCCAAAACCAAAGTAGCGGTACTGCTGATTGCGCCACCTCTGTCTCCCTACATCGTGCTATTGTAACATGTACAAAAATCATCAGAATATTGATTTTTACATTTCTTTAAAATTGATGTACAAAAATGATATGGCCTGCTAATTGATACAGGCAATTGTGATAATACAGCTATAGAGTCTAATTGTGTTGCATCTAAATGAACAAACATATATGTGACCTGGTCTACGAAAAGGGAGCTTACGTGCGAAAACTAGTTTTCTGTGAAAAAAGCTGTTAAAAGTAAGCAACTCGTTTCGTCAGTTTCTCATTATCTCGTTAATTGTTATAATGTAATTGTAATTGTAATTGTATAATGTAATTGTATAATGTAATAAATTATATTTTGTCCTATTTTTACTCTTCTTTCTCTACATTTTGTAATTGTAATTGTAATATGTAATAAATTATATTTTGTCGTATTTTTACTCTTCTTTCTCTACATTTTTAGTACACTTCTAAGCAAGTTAGGATTTTCTGCTTTTCACCACGTGAAAAAGCATCTCATCTTCCATCCGAATCAACCAAAAAGTGAAAATTGATTTTTTGACACCTAAGCCCCCTTTCCGTAGACCAGGTCACATATGTTAAACTCTTTTAATACAATACACAACATACCAAATGGCTGAAAACTTTTAAAATCGGAAAATAACCATGCCCACATCCCATATAACGGTAATTTGGAGACATACGAAATCTTCGATAAATCAGTAAATATTAAAGCTAATTTTTTCAAAATTGATGCTTGCAGCAATTCTTTACCAAGAAATACGTTTATGATAAAATTTTGGAAAATGGGCGTGGCACCGCCCACTTATGATCACATATATGTATTTCGATATGGTTATTGTGCTTGCCACATAAAAGCAAAACGTTGAAAAATATTGAAATCGGACTAAAATTAAGGCCACTTTTCAAATAACGGTAAATTTCAGAAATGCTTGAAACTTCAATATTTCGAAATTTAAAGACGCTAATTTACTCAAAATTGATACACCTCGGCTTACCATGTAGCGGTAGCTTTCGAAAGGTGAAAATCATATATTATATAATACTAGCGCCGGGTTCGGCTCCGCCCGAACTTAGACTTTCTTACTTGTGTGACTCTCACGTTTTAATATTAAATGTAAATAACTTCTGTATAATTTAACTAAATTCGACTTTATCAATGGGTGGCAATCTTCTTCAAAAGTATTATTTATTGAATTAAATTTAACTTGTGTTTTTTTTTTAACAAAAAGCAACTCCATTGCATGTATGTAGTTAAAAATTAATGCGTTTTCAAAACCATATCGATTGACGCCCATATTCTAATGATTAATTTAGCCTATTACATAAATAACTTGAATTGAATTCAATTTTAAAACAAGTGGAACCCCTTTCAAAAAGCTAAAACTATATTGCACACAGTGTTGCCACACATTGGTTTTTCCTACCAAATAATAATAAAAATAGATTGGCGCTTACACATATTTT